TTGTTCGAATTGGTCGACGACAAACAGGTCGTCACGATTTATAGGTTGATTCAGGTGCGATCATTTCACCTTGACTCATTATTCCAAATCGCATTCCACGTTCGTTAATCAAATTTGTAAACTGGTTCGCGTCGCATTTGCCATATCTGCCGATCTGGCAGACCGATTCGTCGTTAATCGATTCGCTCGGCTAATTAAAAACGATGCACGCCGCGGAGTGTAATATCTCGTGTTATGATTAAATGATAAGACGTTCTGTTAAAAGAAATATGATATGATTATATGCAGATATGCTTGCATGTTATGTTGTATTATTTTATTATAGATATTGAAAAATATTTTGAAATTTTAGTTTTATTCTTTTCATTTAATAAGCAATTTTATATAGTTATAAGCATTGTGAAATTATCAATTACTTAAAATAGAGAAATAAATACAATTCTTATTAGAAAAAAAATGTTATGTTTTTTATAATACATTGGAAATATTAATTATTATAATTAGTATAGATCATTAATATGAATTTAGAAGTTAAATAAATTATTGCAAAATCAAGACCTTTGTATTAAACAAAAAACAATTTAAATAATACTATTATTTAAAATATTTAATTATGAATCACAGAAGAAAGAAGTTTAAAATTGATAAAAAGACTATATTACACATTTAATTCATAATCAGGGAATATCTTAAACATTGACAAATCAAATATTTAACTTTCACAATATTACTATATTATTTGACATGTGATTTAATTTCACACCTTGATTTTATAAAAAAAGATAGCAAGAATTACTTTTCAATTATTTAATCAGCAATTAATCAATACATTTTACTTTTTTTTATGTATACTTTTTATTGTTTTTTATTGTTACAATATCTATATGCATTTATTGACCAAGTGCTTATTCTTATTATATGATCTTTATTTTAGATTTTTTATTTATTACGTTAAAACATAATTGAATATATTTATGCATAAGTAAATCGTGGATATTTCTGCAAATTATTATTTTCATAAATGTAATTATAAATTAAATATATGATATGATGCAATTTCATTCTCAAAATTTTATAATAACAATCTTACATTAGATATATATTTTTATACATTATATTCTGCATATTTAAATCAGAAATGTATGAATATTCGCAATCTACTTACAATAGAGAAAAAAAAATTAAAGATTTTAAAATATTCTTTTTACTCTTCTGAAAATAAAAATGAATAAAAATTTTTGACAAAGATTTATGATGAATTCTGTTAAGTTACAGAAATCAAATGATTATCTCCAATAAAATTGATCTGATTGTCCTCTGTGTGACTCAAACATTCATAATATCACTCTCACAAAACTTTTTTCTAAACACTGTTCTGTTTTAAATACGTTCAATCGAATATCAAGTCGTAATTCGCGCATATGCTGTTCAGTGCAAACAATAGGATAGTTATTAAGCACAAAGTTCGCCAAGTTTCCACGGCGAGTAGCGCAAGAAATTCCAGGAAACTTAAATATTTGCTCGGAATTATTATCGGCAGGTTTTAAGAACGATCTTTTATGCGGATCGGGATAACCGATAAGATGAAAAAACTCGTTCGAAAGAGTCCTCGAATACTCGTCCTAACGATGATCGCTCGATAAATCGTGCAAACAGCCCTCCTCTCCTTCTCTATCTCGACAAAATATTCCGTGTAAACAGTGGAACCGATTGTAAAACGACGATAAAATGGCTCATACGTAAGTCGCGTATCGCGTCCTGTTGTCGTTAAGATTCTATCGAGAAGAAATTAATTTTCGTCTCGGACAACATCATACTGTGATCGAGCGACGTTTATCCGAGGGTGTAAAAACATGTATAAGGGAGAAGAAGAAAAAAAAAAATGAAAAAAGTCTCATCGCGGTTTGCTCGGTTTTTGCGATTTTATGCGGTATTTGCCGTTTGAGAAGAAATTTTCCCTAGGTATCATTGAAGAATTAATAAGGGAAGGGAGAAAATTAAAACTATCGATGAGAAGAGAAAATCTTTTCTTAGTTCGATATATCATATTCTTTAAAAAACGATATCTTTTTATAACAGTTAAACAATTCTTGTTTTTTTATGATTAAAATAAATATAATATTTATTTTCAGAGATATATAATAATAAAAATAAATGTGATCTCACTTCAATATCCAATTTTCTATACGATTTTTCAATTTTTCCATATTATTAATAACAACTAGTTATCATATAATTTTTTCAATCACAATTAAATCAAAGCGATAATTTTATAAACTGTTTTTCAATTTCGCTACAAATGGATTTCCTCTTGTTCTCGATTAAGAAGAAGAAATGCATAATAAAGAAGAAGTAAAGTGGAAAAAGCGTGAAAGTATTAAAAAAGAAAAAGAGGAGAGGAAAAAAAAAAAAAAAGAAACGCAAAGAGTATAAAGCGTAAAAGCGTCTGTTCCCACCGATAAAAATGTCATCAACGCGATGGTCACGGTTTTTCTCGTCCCTCGTTTCCTTCGTTTCTCAGGGTACTTACACATTATTGCTTGCAATCGATTTGCATCGATATATCATCAGACTTATCGAGTCCGCTATAAATACGAACAATGGCGGAACCGCGACGATGATGACGCCTTGTTATCGCAAGCGCTTGCTTCGTTTGTGTCACCGCTTAGGACGACGCGAGGAAAAATACCATTATCGTAATTGTTCGCTCGGCTTTCGATCTACCTAACCCTTTTATAACTAATGAAAGATGGTTGTCTACGAGCATCCTCCCGTTCGAGCGGCGCTCGGGTTATTATCGAAATGATTTTCGCGCAAATTAAACATGGCGAACGGCATACGTCACCGCGCGATTTTTCAATTACGATTTTAAATTGATAGACGAAGGGCGATATATCGATCGAGTTATTAACGATGCTTTTTAATGTATCGAATAAGATTGCATTGCAGCGTCAAGGATAATAGTTTGAAGAGGAAAATTAATTTGTTTGTTCATGTATCTAATTGTACTTCGTAAATTTTTATATTTATAAATATAATAAATAATAATGTAATTATAAATATTTGTTCGAATAAAAGTAAAACAATTTTTTAAAATAAGTAATAATGAGTTTCTTAAAAAAAAACTTTGAAGGAAATTTACGATTGTTTTCAATTTAATAAAATGATATTTCATTTTAACGACAATCGAATAACAACTTTGGAAATATTATTATTAAAATTCTGTAGGGAATTTAAAAATTATATGTATTATAAAAAAAAAAGATTAAAAATATATCTATATATTAATCAGGTTATAATTTTTTGTAAAATATAAAATAAGTTTCTATATTTTTGACTTTTCACTTTATTCAGAAAGATAAAGAAATCTTAATATATATAGATAATTGATCTCTCAAATTCAAAATATCTTTATCTTAAAATAAATTTTTGTTTATAAAGTAAATGTTTTTCTTATTCGTTATTTTCAATTTCGAATAAAAAATCATTCTTATTAAAAATATAATTATTAATTACTTTATATTATTTTACGAAGAAAGAAAATTTTTGCGACATCTAATAGGTTAGTAAGAGAAACTCTCGAAAGGTTTTGATAGAACAGAATCAGTTGTATCTTGGTATTCCGATCACAGAAACGCTCTATCCGCTCCATCGTCAAAGAATTCCACTTTGCATTAGAGAGAAAATGTCGGAGCGGAAGTGCACTGTCTTTTCAAAAATTCTTTCTGTTGTCTATGATAGAATGACAATCTGTACTTTCAATTTCCCAAGAGAAAGTCGTCATGAAATGATAAACTCTTTATTGCTTTTGAAGTTTTATTAGATAAATAAAAAAGATTTGCAGAAATGCAGAAAATTAATTTATAATTTAAATTTCAACAGAACGACAATTGAATATAAAATTTTCATCCAAAAATTTAATGAAAATGCTTCATGAATTCATTGTAATTGAACACAATTTTAAATGTAAATTATTTTATGTTTAAATGTTAATTATTTTAAATGTAAATCCAATTTTATATCTCAACA